CCAGTCCAGTCCCGTCAGTCCGCTGGGGTATACCCCAACAGTTGTCTGTTTTCAGTCTCATTCTTCAGTTGCACATTTCGGAGTACGTGCGTTGGAGTCTGCGTGGGGAGCTGCGCTGTGCACCTTGCTCCCTCCTTCTTCCTCCATCTCCATCTCTGTCACTAGCGGAGCACCACACCTGGTGGGTCCGCTACACTAGATACAGGAGGAGGACAATAGTTGCAATTGTTTTATTTCCTGGTTTTCAAATTACCTCAGGAGAAATGGGGGCCAAATGAAAACATAATATGCCGAACATGAATTTTTAACAATTCTGGAGCAAGAAGATCCCGATGATTTTTTATTTTTATTTTTTTATTTTTTGGGAATCTCGCCGATTTGGATTCTGCGTTCTACGAAAACCAACGGCCAGGACTCAGAAGTGGTGTGCACGCTGGTAAGTGGGAACTGGTCCTCAATGGTCAGGCGACACTTGCACAATGATCGTATGCTGTACCTTAGGGTGAGGTCCCACTAGCAAAGGCCCAAGGGGATTGGATCGATCGGCGCCGGAATCTGGTCGCGTTCGTGGAAAAGAAGAATATTTTGTATGGAAGGCTACTGCACTGCAAGAAATATCACCTTCGGTACCTTTGAAAAAAATGGATATAGTCAAAATACAAAATTGTTATTTCAAAGTCGTGCTCTCCCTCAACTAACAGAAATTCATAAAATAACACATGACAAAAATAAATTAGCCATTCGACGTCGATGGTTGAATCATCTTACACCATTGTCATTAGCTATCTGGTGGTTAGATGAAGTGCAAAAATCGGGATTGAACTGCTTTTCTGCATCTCTGCTTAAAACATGTCCAGATTCAGGAGCTTAATCCAATCCTCTTTGCTAGTGGGACCTCACTCTTAGAATGAACTGAGGATCAGATCCCATGGGTGCTATGTTCAGACTTGAAAAGCATGAACCTTGGACATGTAAGAGTCATACAAAACCCAATTGTCTCGGTATTTCTTACCGTGAAAACCAAGCCGCCAAGAAGTTTGATTCTCAGGGAAGTACTTATGCTTGATTCTTTGTCTACCGGGTTCTGGTATGACTTCTTCGTTTAAGAATTTGGCGATAGTATTCATATGGTCATCTATGTGATTCATAGATGGAGTGTATACCTTGTGATTGGTGACGTACTTAATTGCTAATTCCCTATCCAAACCCATAATCCAGTTAAATATTCTCGGTAATTCCTCACTTAATATTCCGTCCCAATCATCATTAAGGGGGTTCGGTTCACGAGTATTCCGTTCAGCTGCGTAGCTGATATTTTCCTGACATGATCAGTTTGGTGACTTCCGGGTAGACTGTGAGGACCCCGGCCTCAATCTTCTTATTGGAATATCAGCCTTGGGCACTGGGTCCCCTTTTAAAAACAAAACAAAAAAAAAAACAAAAAAAAAGAGACACGGTCGGGGTTCAACCAAGGGCTGGCTATTCCCAGTGATCCCCTTTCACGACGAGCTTGACTCGTCGCAGCGAGTTCTTCACTACGATTATTTTCAACGGCGTTGAAGAATAAGTTGTGTCCGTCTCGTTGTAAGGTAGGGTGTCTACGAAAGACCCATGCATGGAGTCGTTCAAATATCCGGAAATCCATATGGTGAAAGATTGCAGAGCATTCCGAAAACTTCAAGTCAAGTTCATGCATTCTTAGCATGAACATTCCCAAAACTTCAAGTCAAGTTCATGCATTCCTAGCATGAACACAGTCCCAGCAGAGCCGGGGCCTGGGCCCGAGTCTGCTTTTTCGAAGTTTTCCTCTACTTTTTCCTACCACTCCATTTCCCCACCAGCTTCATGCTATACATGGCAACGATGTCGCAGCAGTGAGACTCTGCTAACACAAAGAGGGGGCATTTTGCCAGTGGCTGCACCTCACTTTTCATTTTCTCCCAACCCCATCGTGTAACAGCAGTGTCTAAGGTCAACGCTCTCCCACACACCACACACAACACACAACCCACTCACACTCACACACACACACACACACACACAAACACACTCACACCCCCATTGGCTAATGCATAGTTTAACGGGTTTTTTTTTTTTTTTAACAAGGCTCCGTTCAAGTGGTGGGGAGCAAGGTGCATAGTTTAGCTTCACATTCCCTGAAGAGATGAAAAGGGAGGGAAGAGAGGGGGGAACAATTAAAAAAAAAAAAAAAAAAAAAAAGAGGGGGGAACCATGGCCGTGTTAAGTGCAAAAGCGCAAAGCCTGCACACACACCCAATGGCATGCACAAGTTCTTCTCAGGGCGTACTCACACTGGCCCCCTATCTTGAATGTATAGCACTGCATTTACAGCCAACCTGGATGTATGTGACCTCAATTACGTCCAGAAATACGTCAAACAGTACTTCTGTGAGGATGCCCTCACACAGAGGCATGCGCACCCTCACGTTGCTCCTCTACCAACACAGGCTGGTAGTAGACAGCTTGGCAAACAAACTTGCATCCTTGAGGAAGGGAAAAAAAAGAAAAGGAGAGGACAACGAAACTGGCAAAAAGGGGTCTTTGTGAAAGGCCCGATCTCCGTCTTGAACGTGGCCTATAAGATCTAAGCCAAGACCCTTGCCTTGAGACTTGCAGACCTCCTTCCTTCTCTGATCGGATGGGAGCAAGGGGCCTTTCTGAAAGGTGGTTCGATGTTTGAAAATATCTTGATGACAGTTCAGGCCCTAGAGATTATTGGTAAAGAGAATCGGGAAGTCGCCGTTCTCTTGCTAGATATGGAGAAAGCCTACGACAAAAAAGTAGGCTGGGCTTTTGTCTCGACCACCTTGATCAGAATGGGTTTTGGCTCTGGTTTCAGAACATGGATCAAAGCAATGTATGCCCACTCAACTTCAAAGTAGGCTGGGCTTTTTTTTTTTTTTTTTTTTTTTTTTTTTTTTTTTTTTT